TGCCAAAGTTCCCCCATTTAGTAATTAGTGAAACTGGGATGTCTGCTTTAAGAAACTGAAGCAATAAAATGTTTAAGAAAGGCAAACAAAAACCACACACACACACACACACACACACAACACACACACACACACACACACTGAGGTTCAAAAAAGTTAAGTATTGCAAAAGCTACACAGCCTGTAGGAGGCAGAGCCAGCATCTGAATCTATTCCAACTGGCTCCAGAACCCATATCTTAATCCTTTCCCTGGAACGCTACACCTGCACCTAGATAGTCATGCCTGCAGACACAGAACTTCAGAGATGTCAGACGCCATCACCTCTCCTTCCAGGTAGGCACACATAAGCCGACACACAGACATGCATAAGGAGCACATGCATAAACAGAGAGCATGCATGAATGCATGAACTCACATGTTCATGTACATACATCACATACATGTGCATGAAAACCTCCACCCCTATTGCTGCATGGCCCTAATTCCCTTCCTGGGGATATGAGGCTACACCTCTAGAGCCCAGTTTCCCCAAGGCTCAGAGCATAGAGCTCAGTGAGGACATCAGTAATGTTCTTCTCTCCTGGGAAGACCACAGGGCCAATGCCCCCAGGGCTCTGGCATTCAGAGGAGAGGCCCCTGGGTCTCCCTTTCCATCACCAACACCCACTGTAGGTAAAAAGAAGAGAGCACTTTTCTGAAAGTAGATCTGCACTTGCCCTGGCCTGCTCCCTCACAGATTCAGAGCCTGATCTTAACTCCCTGGCAGGCCCCCTAGCCTGGTCAGGATCCTGAATCTCCTCTGTCAGGCCCACAGGTAGGCAGGCTGAGGGCTCTTTGGGAACAGAAACTGGGTTGGATCAACCTCTTCATATGATCTTCCTCCCTTTTCCTTATCCTATCTTCTCTCCTTTATCTCAAAGACAGGAGACAAAGGAACGAGAAAGCTAGCGTAATGCAGGGGATAAGAGCACATATTCTCAAGCTGGACTCTACCTTCTAGCTGTGTGGACTTAGGCAAGTCACTTCAGTTCCTTGTGCCTCGCTTTCACTATCTGTAAAATGGGGTATTGTGAAGAACTAACGGACTTAATGTACGTAGAATTCCTAGAGCAGCGTCTGGTACACATAAGCACTGTGTCATCGCTATTGTATTGTATTGTATTACACTACCATCCTGACTGAGGATATCCCCAGGAAGGGCTGCAATGAAGTAGGTGTCTCCCACAGGAGACATCTGGGTGATGCACTACCAGCTCAGCAGAGGGACACAAGAGACTGGGTTTCCGCAAAAGTCCCACTCTAAGCACTTCTGGTCCATCATATGGATACCAAAGACAACTATTTACAAAATAGGAATGAAATGGACAGAAGGCAATAATTTACAAAAAAGGAATTCCAGGGGGCATATCTCCAATGTCAACTTGCCTTGGAATCTAGAATTTAACAGCTGGAAATGGCTGGGTAAAATTCTAATCTGATACAGGAGTGAACACTAGGCATGAAGGAGAGATTTTGGAGAACTGAAAAGAGAAGAACCACGCCAGGAAAGAGCCCTGTGGGATCTCTAAGAGGACGTATCTACATACAAAGTTAAATATGGAAGGAATTCCTCACTCCATCCCTATAATCTCACTTCAGAAGGCAACTACATACACATAAACACACACACACCACAACAAACACAAATATAAAGGAGATATACTTCTTTGCAGAAAATGGAATTATTCTATACCCATTGCTCTGCAACTTGCTTTTATCACTTAACAAAATGTCATGGACAATAGTATCACCTTGAAAATATAGCTTAGCAATCAGTACCTTCTGCTCTGCCATCGGACTGCTTGAATTAAAATCCCAACTCTACCACTTACTAACTGTGGGATCTGGTAAATTACTTTGCTAAATATTTTTTTATTGAAAATAAGGGTATTATGCTAAGCAAAATAAGTCAGTGAGAGAAAGACAAATACGATATGATTTCACTCATATGTGGAATTTAAGAAACAAAACAGCTGAACATAGGGGAAGGGAAGGAAAAAGAAAATAAGATTAAAATTGAGAGGAAGGCAAACCATAAGGATGCCGAACTCTAGGAAACTAACTGAGGGTTGCTGGAGGGGAGGTAGATGGGGTATGGGGTAACTGGGTGACGGGCAGTAAGGAGGACACTTGATGTAATGAGTGCTGGGTGTTAATATGCAACTGATGAATCACTAAATTCTACCTCTGAAACTAATAAAAAATGAAAAGAAAAGAAGGATAATAATGGTGCCTATCTAGGATTTGGGGAAAATAAAATCATAAAATACATGAAAAGCACTTACCTCAGGGTGGAATATACTGAGTACTAATAAACGTTGACTATCATCAGCCATCTTATTTCGTTAGAGGATGGGTGCTATTGAGTAATGAGAATGCACTATTAATTGTTTTAATAATTTGTGGATATTTAGGTTGTTTCCTATGTTGGTTTTGTTTGTTCTTTTCTTTTAATCTGGTACTACGAGTAATGCTACAAATATGTGTGTATGTATCTTTGTGCGACACATAAATGAGTATTTTTAAAGGATGGATTTTTATGAGTGGAATTACTGGACAAAGAGATGCAGATTTTTGATTCTGACAGAGACTGCCAAAAAGCCTATACTGATTATCCTCTCATTACCAGTGTATATGAGGGTCTTTTTCCTTTTGAATATTGCCAAAAAAATTTATTGACAATCCGATGAGTAAAAATTGTGTTTCAGTCTAATTTACATTTTTTGATTACCAACTAGGTTGGTATGTTTTCTTTGGTAAATGTATTGTAGATATTTTCTTTGAGTCCATAGTTAATATTTTAGTTTTACTTATGATCTCTTTTGGTGTCATTTTCACATTTTTGAGTACAGTGTTTTGTCATTCTTGCCTCTACATTTTTTTCTCAATTGGAATGGCATCCACATCTCGAGACCATATAAATATGCCCTTTATTTTTGGCTAATACTTTATGATTTGGATTTTTTACTTCTAGTTTGTTCATATGGATTTTGTTTCTATGTGGGTTAGAAAAAAATCTAGCCTTATTTTTTACAAAGGTTTTGCATGTCTTTTGATTAAGATCCGTATACATGTATAAATATAGGCATATAGCATTCTTTATGTTGGTTCATTAATTGGTTTTTCTCTCTGTGTACGATTATCGTATTTTTTTTTCATTATTACGTACTTTGATTTTTGGTTAGAAAAACTCTGTTGGGGCGCCTGGGTGGCTCAGTCAATTGAGCATCCAACTCTTGATTTTGGCTCATGTCATGATCTCAGGGTCATGAGATTGAGCCCTACATCAGGCTTAGTGCTGGGCATGGAGCCTGCTTAAGATTCTCTTTCTCCCTCTCCCTCTGCCCCTCCCCCACTCTCTCTTGCTCTCTAAAGAAAAGAAAAACTGTCATTCTAATTTTTTTTTTCAAAATTGTCTTTCCCAGGCTATTTATTCCTCTAGATGAATTTTAGAATGACCTTCTCAAGTCCTATTAAAAATGTCCTTGGGAGGGCATCTGGGTGGCTCAGTCGGTTAAGCGTCTACCTTTGGCTCGGGTCATGATCCCAGAGTCCTGGGATCGAGCCCAGTGTCGGGCTCCCTCCTCAGCAGGTAGCCTGTTTCTCCCTTTCCTCCCTGCTCGTGCTCTTGCTATCTCTGTCGCTCTCTCTGCTTCTCTCTCTCAAATAAATAAATAAAATCTTTTTTAAAAATGCCCTTGAGTAAAGAAATGCTCTTGGGGTATTATCATAGGTGCATTAAATTTTATTAATTCCAGAAGAATTTTCTTACAGCTTTATTGAGATATAATTGACATATATAACACTGTGTTAGTTAAAGGTCTACAACGTGATGATTTGATACATGTTGTGCAATGATTCCCACAGTATGGTTAGTTAATATCTCCTTCACCTCACATAATTACCATGTCTGGTTCTTTTACAAGAACATTTAAGAACTACTGTCTCAAACTGAATGTTGGTCAGGAGGGGCTGGGAGAGTGGGGGAATCGGAGAGATGCTTAAAGGTACAAATTCGCAACCAGTAAATGAATAAATCCTGGAGATTTAACATGCAGCATAATGATTAGAGACAATAATAATGAATTATATATAAACCTCTCAGTTTCTAAGAGTGGTAGATTTTAATTGTTCCCATCACAAAAAAGAAATGACAATTACATGGTGTGATAGAGGTGACAGCTAATGCTCTGCTGGTAATCATACTGTAACTTAAATGCATCAAATGAACACATTTTACAGCTTAAGTTTACACAATGTCATATAGCAATTATATCAATTAAAATAAATAATAAATATCTACTGTCTTAGCAAATATCAAGTATATAAAACAATATTACTAACTTTTGTCACCACACTTTACATTAGATTTCCAGAACTTACTGACCTTACAAATGGAAATGTGTACCTTCTGTTCGACATGTCCCCATTTCTCCCATCCTAGCCTCTGGCAACCACAACTGTACTCTCTGTTTCTATGACTGTCTTTTTTAGATTCAGCAATAAAAAGAAGGAAATCCTGCCAATTGCAACTTGGATGGAACTTGTGGGCATCATGCTAAACAGACAGAGAAAGACAGCTACTGTATAATATCACTTATATGTGCAATCTCAGAATTGGCACTTTTAAATTGAATCTTCCCTTTATAGAAGTACAGTATCTCCATTTATTCAGACATCCTTTTGTGTTCTGTTACACTTTCTTCAGAGAGATCATTCTCATCTCTTTTTACTTTTTTCTATCAGATTTATTGCTAAGTAGATTTTAGACTTTTTTTTTGGAAGAAACAATGATTTGTTTGTTTTTTTTTAAGATTTTTATTTATTTGAGAGAGAGAGAGAATGCACAAGTGGGGAGGAGCAGAGAGGGAAGGAGGAAGAATCTAGCAGATGAATCCTGGTTTTCATCACAACAGCTGCTGGCATTCTTTCATCAAAAGTCCATCCATCAGGATTTCTCTATCCTGATTGGCCAAGGGGTCCTGCTTTGGTTGCCAGGGCCTCCTTCAGCTAAATTTGATATTCCTGAAATCTCATGGATATACTTTGTGTCATTTTTAAATATTTCTGTCAGCGATGTTCTGAACAGGTGGTCTCCTCGGGTTTTACTTCTCTTGTTGTGAAGTCTTTAACAGAGTTCAAATAGCAGGTTTCTGTAAGTTGACTGTAGGTTCCAAGAAATTCCTTGAACTGTTTGGTCTGATCAGATTCTGGTATTTGTGCTGCCATATGCTTTTGGTATGTTTATACCTTTCCTGATGCATGACTTTCCTTGTTGTTCTGGAAAATTAGTTCTCCAACCTTTGCTTGAATGTCTCCACTGAGGCCTGATTTCTTACTGGAGCATAGACTCTCACATCCTACACCAGTGCGAGGCTGGGGGGCTGCACTACCAGTAGATGTAGGGACAGAGGGTCTGGATCAGGGCAGGCGCTGCAGTCACCGGATGGTTAGACCTTCTTGCCATTGCCAATTGAAACCTTTTACTCCATTACATTTTTCTACTACAGGATAATATTTATATTTGCATGGTATCTTATTATCTGGCCACTGTGATAAATCTTTATAGGTTTAAAAGTTCTCAGATGAGTACCCTGGATTTTTTTTAGATAGCCAAACAAGCCAACTAAAAATAATGACAAGATAAATGTTATGCCTATTTCATTAATTTTGTTTTTTCACTGGCTTACACTACCATCTGAGCACTATAGTTTAATAGTGGTAAAAGAAGCCATCCTTGCCTTGTCTTTTCCTTAACTGGTGGAATGGGATGTTTACATTCAAAGTTTTCTATTCTGGTAAATATAAATGTTTAGAATGAGAGCTTCATAGTTTTTTAGTCAAAATAGCTCATGTATATAAAGCCATCCCCTGGACAAAGAAGAAAAAAAAAAATCTAAGGAGTTGCTCAAGGAATGACCTAAAAAGAATATTTGGAAAGAGAATTGAGAAAACTCAGACAAATTACACTAACAGAATTTCCAAAAAAAAAGAATTACCTAAGGACACATGAGAAAATATTAGTTTCTCATGTAGAAAGCATCTTGGAATTTTCTTATTTTTCTCTTACCAGATTTTACTCCTTCTTTTTCTAGAATGTCTTGAAGTAAATATTCTTTAAAATCAGAAGAAATATCAACGGGCTTTTTTATAACCTGGAGATTAGGGAAGAAGCTGACTTGATGAAATTGCCCTTCACATCTCTCCAACTGCTTCTCCACACCCTGCCCACAAAGGCACAGACATGGAGGCAAAGAACTACAGCAGCAACTCAGGCTTTATCCTCCTGGGCATCTCTTCCAACCCTCAGCTACAAAAACCACTCTTTGCCATCTTCCTCATCATGTACATGGTCACTGTCACAGGCAATATACTCATCATCCTGGCCATCCACTCTGACTCCCGACTCCATACCCCTATGTACTTTTTCCTCAGCAACCTGTCCTTCATGGATATCTGCTTCACAACAGTCATTGTGCCCAAGATGCTGGCAAATTTACCATCAGAGACCAAGGCTATCTCCTTCGTGGGATGCCTGGTCCAGATGTACTTCTTCATGGCCTTTGCAAATACTGACAGTTACCTGCTGGCCTCTATGGCCATAGACCGGCTGGTAGCCATCTGCAACCCTTTCCACTATGATATGGTCATGAACCCACGGCGTTGCCTCCTCATGCTGCTGGGTTCTTGCACCATCTCCCACCTGCACTCCCTGCTCCGGGTGCTACTCATGTCCCGCCTATCCTTCTGCGCCTCCCATGTCATTAAGCACTTCTTTTGTGATACCCAGCCTGTGCTAAAACTATCCTGCTCTGACACATCCTCCAGCCAGATAGTGGTCATGACCGAGACCCTGGCTGTCATCGCAACCCCCTTCCTGTGCATCCTCTTCTCCTACCTGCGAATCATCATCACTGTGCTCAGAATTCCCTCTACAGCTGGCAAGTGGAAGGCCTTCTCTACCTGTGGCTCCCACCTCACTGTAGTGGCCTTGTTCTATGGGAGTGTCATCTATGTCTATTTTAGGCCCCTGTCCATGTACTCAGTGGTGAAGGACCGGGTAGCCACAGTCATGTACACAGTAGTGACACCCATGCTGAACCCCTTCATCTATAGCCTGAGGAACAAAGATATGAAGAGGGGTTTGAGAAAATTAAGGGACAGAATTCACTCATAGAAAGAACATATAGATGGAATACCTTAATTGGGAGATGACCTAAGAGGTGATCACATTACCCTTCCCGCCTACCCATTTTTTACATGGTGCCCAAACAGGTTGAAGAAGGTAGTGATGGAGAGCAATAAGAGCCCTGACCTAGAAGCTAGAACACTTAGTTTCTATCAGTGACCTTGACCAATTACATGTACAATCCCAGGCCAAGTGCTGCTAGGAATCCACATTTCAGGAAAACTGTTTCTGCCACCTATATAAATAAAGCTATCCTGAAGTGGAATAAAGCTATCTCCAAATAGCTCCTCCATGGGTTTGACTTTGGGTAATACTCAAGAAAGTACAAAGTCCTTTCTTGGTTTTGAGTGTAAGAAGTTACATGACTTCAGGGAATTGGGAAAGACTTCTTGGAATAATGACCTAAGGTTATCCTAAAGGATGGATTGATTTTGACAGATGAAAGTTCAGTACAGCAGGAAATGGGCAGAACATTCCAAACAGTGGGACCCACACAAAGAGGAAGAAGCAAGAAACACTGGAATGTGTTTGAGGGACAATGGAGAGTCCTATGAGGCTTGTTCAGTTTGAGAACAGAGACAATAAGGCTGGAAAGATGGAAGAATCTACAAATCAGATGTAGTACCCGCCCCAACACCAAGGTGTCATCACAGTGAATTCTCAGCACTTGACTTCTATTCCCTTCCCCCTTGCTTCTACCTTTGTCCACATGGCCATGATCCTCATTGAAATGCCCTTTATATCCTGGAAAAAAGCAATGCATGTCAGTCAGGATAAGCTAGGTTGTGCTGAGGAAACAAACAATGTCAAAATCATTGGACCTTGAAACCGAAGATTTATTTCATATTGACACTGCATGTTCACCATTGAAAAGCATAGAGTGCTATTCACTTTAAACACTCAGGGACCAAAGCTGATGGAGCAGACACCATTGTAAACACTAATCATCACTCTCTCAGAAGCTGATGAAACCTCTTGAAGATTTTGCACTGGCATTTAATACAATGGTCTAGATGTGACTCACAGCACTTGTGGCCACAACTTATGTCAACAAGTAACCTCCCTAAAGTTCACACTAAAGGGAATTCTAGATAACAACAGACAATGAGGGGCACCTGGGTGGCTCAGTTGGTTAAGTGTCTGCCTTCAGCTCAGGTCATGATCTCCAAGTCCAGGGATCAAGCCCCACATTGGGCTCCCTGCTCAGTGGGGAGTCTTCTTCTCCCCCTCCCTCTGCCCCTCCACCTGCTTGTGCTCTCTATTTCTCAAATAAATAAACAAAATCTTTTAAAAAAGAGGGACCATGAGATATACGTTGTGGTGAAAGTGTTACATATCTGTCCCCCAGGTTAGTCCTAACCTTCTCAGTCACAGCTCGAGTGCTGTCTCTGTTAGAATAGACAGCACTTTCCACAAGATAGCCTGCCACCCTTCAGAAGGGTGAGCTGATGTTGGCAGGTAGTATTGAAAAACTTTAATCAAAGTTTTGCTATCCAAACAAAGGAGGCTAGCGTGAACTTGGAAATTTGCTAATGAACAACAGTGAGAATGAAATAAATCCCTTCTGAAAGTACATATAGTCAGAGCAAAGGTCTAAGCAGGCCTTCTGAACACCCTGCCCAGTCAGGTGAAGAGCTTCTACGTGGCCCTTGGGAACAGACCAGAAAACACTTTGGCAGCTCCTCCTCCCACCATATAGACAGATAACCTGTGAGGCTGGTGACACAACAGTGGAATAATTCTAGAAGCATGTCGTGTGATGAGGAAACTGTGAAGGGAAATGTATTGGGTCCTTCTACTGCAAGCTCATTACATATATGAAAATGTTGGAGGGGCGCCTGGGTGGCTCAGTTGGTTGAGCGACTGCCTTCGGCTCAGGTCATGGTCCTGGAGTCCTGGGATCGAGTCCCGCATCGGGCTCCCTGCTC